GAATGGCTGTTTTGTCATATTGGTACGTTACTACTTTTTTAACACGTTAAGCCCCATGTGTATCACACTCACACTGGTACACACTCTAGTTTTATCTGGGACCGTGTGTAGTGTGTACCTATCAGGCCATAGCGAAGTGTATCGTGTTCCTAAAGCTGTGGCTCGTCAAGGATCGCATTCGCCGTGCTCTCTTATGTATAAATTTGTGTAAACGGTCTGTGGTAAACAAAATCAGAGGTTGGTCCGTTAAACCACGTGTTCACAAACAGGTTAGGTTATAATTTCTAACATACTTCAGTCAGGATCAATTCGAACTAGGGTAAGACTATTTTCTCTTCAGTTTTTTGTTAAAAAGTGGAACTAAAAAAGAAGATAATGTTAGGTAAAGGACTATCGGAAGACGATCTTCGCAGAATTGCCGAGGAGAGTGACTTTAGTGACGTGACTTTAGTCTACAATGAAAATGTTACTGATGGTTCGTCAGACGCATGCAGTAGTGAATATGAGTCTCGTGGAGAAAAAGCTAAAAAAAACAAAATTGCAAAGAATTTAGGCTGCAGATCCTGGTTCTAACCAAAAGAAGCCTGATACAAGAAGGATAGGTAAGTTATTTAGAAATGCACAATTTCTGTTTGCATTTTACTTTTTTTGCTTTTTAGAAAAAGGTGAATCTGCAAACGTTAGCCTGGAAGCTGTTATTGATGATGTTGTATCAAGAAATAAAGTAACATGGAGCCATGTGCCAAATACAGATGATCTCAATAAGTTCGAACTATCCTTTACTAAAGGAATAAATCAGGAAGAAATTGCAAAACTTACAGACCACAAACCAATAGATTTTTACCTACTGTTTATCGACCATCAAGTGCAAGATTTGTTGGTTACTGAAACTAATAAATACGCTAAACAAACAATAATCGCTGGTATTGTAAATAAATCAATAACGAAATATTCGCTTATGAGTAACTGAAGACCAGTTGACAGAGAAGAATTGCTTTGATTTTTGGCTCTCATTATTTGGATGGGGTTAGACAGAAAAGCCGAACTCAGAGATTATTGAAGTAACAATTTACTTTACAAGAATAAAGTTTCTAAAATGTGTGAAATAAATCGATTTGAAATAATATTATACTTATATCACATTTCAGATAACAAGAGCTATCCACTTGGAAACAGGCTCTACAAAATTTCTCCTATTGTACAAATACTAAATGAAATGTTTAAGAAAATCTAGAGAATTGTTATGTATTGACGAAACTATGGTGCCATTCCTGGAAAAAGACACAAATATGGAGTCAAATTGTTTAAACTTTGCGTTGCAGATGAATGTTGCAGATGTACGTATGCCGTAAAAGTGTATGGTGGAAAAGAGATGCAACCATCTGAAAAGTCGTTAGCATCCACAATGGTGATGAAACTTATGCAACCGCTTCTAGATACAGGCAGAACTTTATATACTGATAATTTTTATACGAGTGTTGACTTGGCCCATGATTTAAATAATAGGATAAACATTACGTGCTACTAACAAACATAATCCAAAAGCGGTAGTGGATGCAAAATTAAAAAGAGGTGACATGAAATATCTACAGAATAATACAAAAGTTGTTTTCGGAAAACGGAAAGAGAAACGTTTAGTTTTTAATGACCAAGGTTATTCCACAAAACGTGGACATGTTCCCAAACCATCGACCATTGTTGACTATCTTCTGCAAAATCTTTTATCGATATGTCTGATCAAAAGGCCGCATATACTTCCCCTGATCGACGAAATATAAAGTGGTATCGTAAATTGGCTGTGGAATTACTAACAAATACCGAAATTCATCTTTCAATTCCTGAGTTCCGTGAACAGATTGTTCAAAGTCTTTAAATGCCACAAACAACTTCTGAAAACACTTTAACAACTCTGCATACGTTGGACGAGAAAGAAAAAGGGGAAGGGGAAGTATGTTATACAGTTAAACAAATACTAGCCAAAGCATGGGAATATGACATAGACGTCTACAATCTCTTTGTAGATTTCAAGCAAGCCTATGATTCAATAGATAGAACAATACTACCTAATATATTACAAGAATTTGTCATACCATCAAAATTAATAAGACTAGTGCAAATGACAATGACAGAAACAGAAGCACATGTATGTATTCAAGGACAGATCACTGATGCGTTTATGACAACGCAAGGACTGAAACAAGGTGACGGACAGGCTCCAACACTTTTTAATCTTGTTCTTGAATATGTAATTAGACGGTTGACGGTGAGCAGAAATAACATACTTACAAACAAATCTACCCAATTAGCAGCATACGCAGATGACATAAACATAATGAGCAGAACAAAGACTGCGGCAGAAGAAACCTACGTTCAGTTGAAACAGAGCTCAGAAGTTGTAGGGCTAACAATAAATACAAATAAAACAAAACTACTCATACAAACCAGATCAAATAGACAGGCGCAACAACAACAATTTATAGACGATATAGAATACGTGAATAGATTCACGTATTTAGGAATGGATCTGGTCAAAAATAATGAAGAAGAACCGGAAATAAATAGAAGGCTTATGCTGGCAAACAAAGCCTATTTCGCGATGGGCCACATATTCAAATCGCGAGACGTACACCGGAAAACAAAACTCCGGCTATATAAAACAATAATCCGACCCATAGTAAGTTATGGGTGTGAAACATGGGTTATAACACAGAAATCTACCAATGCATTAGACGTGTTCGAAAGAAAAATATTGCGTAGAATACTGGGTCCAATAAAGGAAAATAACAACTGGCGAATTAGATATAATAACGAAATATACGAACAATACACTGAACCAACACTAGCACAATACACTAGACTACAGAGATTACGATGGGCAGGGCATGTGGCCCGCATGCATGAGAACAGAATCCCCAGAAAATTACCAAATGCAAGAATGCAAGGAAAAAGACCTGTTGGAAGACCAAAAAAGAGATGGGAACAGGAGGTAGATGAGGATGCCAAAAATCTCCTAAAAACGCGTTCATGGAAAAGAACAGCAGTAAATAGAGATGTTTGGAGAGGTTTAATGAAGGAGGCCAAGGCCCGGCTTGGGCTGTAGTGCCATTGGATGGATGGATGGAAGTATGTTATAAGAACTTTTCGAACCGTTGAGGAAGAACATCAGCGATGAAGAATGCCGAAAGGGTGTACACTATTTGTCCGGCATGTGCCGTTAGTACCGCATATATGTGTGTTAAGTGTTTTGTGAATATTCATACATGTTCTTTGAAAAAATAAATTGTTTTTGTATTTTTTTCTTAAAATATCTTAGGGGGAAGGTATTTGATTATCTTCCTGGTGTGAGCCAATATGGCACACATGGTCCACATTAAAACAAATTACCGTGTGTACCGTGTTGACACAAGCTGTTTTTTACTTAAAAAAATGTATTTTCGTTTATTTTGGAATTCAAATAAATAGTTATACACATTCTTATTTCAAAATTATTAAAAAAATGTTACGGCTTGACAGAAAACTTATATCATGATGGTCCGGGACTTAACGTGTTAAAACTCGTGGACAGTTAATCTCCAGATCTATTAGGTCGATTTTAATAAACCTTAATTTTATCACAGTTTGACAAAAAAGAATAAAAAAAATTGTGAGTGAACTTTTGAACAATTTTTTCAAATGTCTGCCATTTTTTTGAAGAATTTCAATTGTTCTTGTAAACTATCACGTAAGGGCAGTTCGTTTTTAAAACCCTTTCGAATTTTTTGTTTCAGGTTTGCTGTTCCAGAGATTAACTGTCCACCATAGAACAGTAATTTTTGGACGAAACATCTTTGCCACCATCTTTAAAATACAGAAACAATAAAAAAAAAGAAAAAAAGAATGTTTTGTAATCTTTAAAACTGTATAAGAATGTAAAAAAGGTTTAATTGCCATATATAATAAATAAGAGACAAAAAAATGTTGAAAATGTGTCATTTTTTTTTTCATTCTAGACGGTAATTATTACATAAGTCTTAAAGAACAAATATCCGGAAAATGTTGGGTTTCAAACGAAGAGACTGAATTCCATTATTATTAAAACCCTGTACAAACTACATTGAACTTAAGAGTGACATATATGTATTTACAAAGCGATATATTTGTACAGGTGCATATACAACAAATGTTGCATATACAACAAATGTTGCATATACAACACTTGTTGTATATGCACACGTATCGTAAAAATACACAAAAAATAAAAACACATTTTTTTGCTACTAGGCCGAGAATTTTTATCTTTTCCTCGTATACTAATTAGAAATAATTAAGAATCAATTCTCATAGAGTCCAATTTGAGCAATGAGTCTGTAAACATTGACGCATATCATAAATGCTATACAGGGACGCATAAGCAATATCAAACGATAACTTTGAGACTCAAACGTGAATCTTAGATATTAGAGTGTTTAAGTCACAGATATCTAATAATATTCAGTTAAAGTTAGACGTATGTAATATTCAGTGTGTTGTAGTTGCGGTTAAAGAAGACTATGATGCTAGATAAAAAAAGTCAATTTTCCCAAATAATCCTAATAGTCAAATCGACGGACTTTAACTCTCTATTAACTAAACTTTTATTGGTAATTTTGAACTGTATTTTTGCAAAATAAATCGCCAAAATTATGATAATAACAATATTAATCCTAAAATAAAATATCCAAAATCTATATTTAAAATTACGCCTAAAAATAATTTGATTAGAATGATTTCAAGTTCAGTGGCAATTTATATAAATACCATTGAAAAAAGCCTTTGCATATGCTTCAGATAGATTTAAAAGGACCACCTCTTGAGCTTTCATTCAGTAGAACCGAGCAGATATGGATATTTATCGTTCATACATCACTTTGGCAGTAAGAGGAAATAGTATATACTTAAGCCTTTCTGCTCTCCAGATCTCGATCGACTTGACCTCAGTTTTATTATCTTGATAAGACAATTTTATTCTGATTGTACTTAAGTTACCATACTTCACATTTGTTTGTGGGGTTCATTTTGGAGCCCGGCTTGCACTGGAACTCTTCGCTGAATTCTTTGAGGTTGCTCAACGCTCCTATGACTCTGAATTGGGCTGGCGAGTGGGAATCTTTTTCTATTTGAAGCAGTGTGGCTTCTTTAGTTGCGGCTGAACACCAAACCTGAAATATATTTTTTAACAGTTGATGAATATCGTCTCCAAAGAAAATTATAAAAAATATAAAAGAAAAAAAGAACTTATGAAAACGGGATACGGGAATAATTGGGTTGAAAAAGTAAAACCAAACAACAAAATTCTAGAAAATCCTGAATAGTACAAGAAAATGTTCAAATATTTATTGGTTGAAATTTAGAAGTTGTCAGTTCATAACCAATCGAATCGTTTCAATAGTCCAATTAGAAGCAACTAACGTTACGTGCTATCTTCTAGGCGCGCAATATCAAAGTTGTCAGTGAAGTTGACCAGGAAAGGATTTATGGTGTGCTAATTATAATCGAAAAAAAAAAAATAATTTGTCCTTGGTTTTTTAAAACAATTAAACTATTTTGCGTTTAAAATGTGGTAATCATATTCTAGATAAATTTATGTACGGAGTTTAGAAGGACTCTAACAGAAAGAGTAAAAAATGATGTATTTCAAAGGAAAAACTGCAACCTAAAATTGAATTTCGCAGGCTAAATTGACTATACAGATCAAATGATGTCCTATTATCCAAGTATAACTATCATTCAATTACTATTATACAATTCATTTATTCTTTCAAGCCAAAGTCTTCTTCAGAACAATCTTCAATTCGCCTCTGTCTCTGGCAACTCTTCTCCATGCTTTAACTCCGATGGATTTTAGATCATCCTCTATGTCATCTTGATACCTAAGTTTTGGTCTTCCTCTGGTGCTAATTTAATACATTTTACAACGTCAGATTACCCAAAACTTCTGTATAACTCAAAGTTGTAGCACCTACGCCACAAACCCTGTTCTAGGACTCCTCCATATATTTTCCTTAGAATTTCTCTCTCAAAACGTTTAAACATTTCTTGGTCGTTCTGCGTAAGTGACCACGTTTCTGACCCTTAATTTAACACTGGCCTTATTAGTGTTTAATATATGGTAATTTCTTCGCTGACATTGTTGTCTTTGGTCAGGAGCGAGCCCAGGTAGATGAAGGGGTCCACACCTTCTAGTTCCATATCATCAATTAATAGTCTGGGTATCTGGTAGCCTAATCTAGTACAATACATATACTTGGCTTTCTGTGCTTTTATTTTTAATCCCATTCTTAGTGCAGACGCCCTTAATGATCGAAATACTTCGATCAGAGATTATGTGGACCTAGCAACAATGTCTATGGCATCTGTATATCCGACCACTTGTACAGATTTATTAAAGTTGGTGCCATTCGTATTAATATGGCACCCTTGAATTACTTTTTCTAGTGCAAGGTTAAATAAGAGACACGACAGTACATCTCCCTGTCTCAGTCCAGTTTTACAATGGAAAGGTCTTAAAAAGTCGTTTTGGATTCCGACTACACTCTCTACGCCTGTGAGTGTAAGTTCCGTTAGTTGAACAAGATGAAGCAGCATTTGAAATTCCACCATAGCCTGTAGAAGTTTTTGTCTGTTGAATGAGTCGTATGCTGTTTTGAAATCCACGAATATGTGGTAGGTGTCGACTCCGAACTCAAGCGTTTTCTCAAGAATCTGCCTGACTGTGAAGATTTAATCCGAAGTTGATTTATTGGGTCGGAAACCGCACTGGTAGTTCCCAACTATTTATTCAGCGTAGGGGATCAATCTTTTGTACAATACCGTGGACAATACTTTATATGCCACGTTAAGTAGGGTGATGCCTCTTATCACACACCATGATACTTTACACCATCATAATTATCACACACCATCATATCTCCCTTTTTGTGAAGAGGGTGTATTTAAAAAGGAAATTAAAACAAGCCCAGTAAACACATCCCAGCATTAAGACACCCAGATGGCTTATGGACGAAAACTGATCAAGAAAAAACAGAGATATTCGGAAAATATTTTGAAGAAGTTTTTTTATCTCAACTTTCTGTCAGTCCTGAAGAAAATGAAGTTATTTACAAAAGACTAGCAATAATCCAATAGCTAGGTGAACAAATTAAGGCAGTTAAAAAAAGAGAAGTAAAAAGTGTCATTAAATATAGATTAAAAACCAAAAAAGCTACAGGTTATGATCTTATAACAGGAAAAAATCTTAAAAAAATTACAAAAAAAAGAATAGCTTTTCAATGCCTTACTTATGCTTAAAATAGTACCAACCCAATGGAAAATTGCTGATTCACAAACCTGGTAAACCGCCTGACGATCATACCTCATATTATCTTACTAGTATCTTACCGGTAAGTGCTAAACTGTTTGAGAAGCTAATAGCGGTAAGACTTATGAGGATAATAACTGGTAATAATCTTTCCCTGGATCATCAGGTCGGTTTCAGAGAGAAGCATTCTATTACGTACAAAAACAGTAATTCTTCCCTAAATACTCTATTCGAAAGCCACTCTCTTAATATTAATTACTATAACAATTATGTCTTTTTGACAGATAAACGTCCTCATTTTCTACGTTTTTGAATGATTTGAAGACTTACTAAAAGTTACATAAAGAGGTATATGAGCCATATCGTGCTATCTGTTGTCCATGTAAACAACAAATGTGGCTCCAATCTTCGAGGATTCGAAAGGGAGAATCATATTACAGACTTGACCGTTCATAAAGGGAATATTGAAAATATGTTGACCTTTGTTACATAAAATACCCTTTAAATAATGGTAAATAGCTAATAAACATTACCTGAGCAAAAGCTACAAAGAAGAGTTGTTTGTGATTGAGCAAAAGACCCGGAAGCTCTTGTGGTTCAGGTTGATTTTCCATTAATTCTAAGTAAGCGTGGTAAGCTGCCTTTAATCCGCCGTTATCGGCTATGTTTTCCCCAAGTGTTTGATTTCCGTTTATGTTTTTCCCATTTACTTGGTATTTGTCTACAAAAAGATAATAATTTAGATAAAAAAATTAAATAATAATGTTTGATGAAATGCACAAATTCAGGAAGATAATGTGCCTAGTGACAAACATAGAATACTTACTATACTGATCTACAACGCATTTTGTCCTTTGTTTAAACTTTTCAATAGTCTTATTCTTCCACCAATGATTGAGGTTACCAAATTTATCAAACTCTCTGCCTTGGTCATCGAAACCGTGAGTTAGCTCATGTCCCATGACTACTCCCATACCCCCGTAGTTCAAACTTGGAGGAAAAGAAGAGTCGTAAAACGGGCTCTGTAGAATTCCGGCTGGAAAGACCATTTGGTTTTTGGTGGGAGTGTAGTATGCGTTTACGGTAGATGGAGGCATGCCTGAAAATTGAGAAATTGATAAAAAGATTTTTTTCGTTTTTAAATATATCAACAAAATAGTAAATTCTACAATGAATATGGAATGTTCCCCATAGTCTTCTCCAAGAAAATATTGGCTATAGATTGATATGTATGGGCTTTGACATTAAAAAAGTAGAACCATTTACATAACATATTCTTGTATACACTAAGCTGTCAGATTATTTAAATAAAAAAACCCACAAGAAAAATGAAATTTCTGTAGGTGGCTGTATACCATAAATCACAAAAGTTTTATTTAAAAATCCTTTATAAAAGATATATAATTAATAGAACACTTTCGAGCTACATCACAAAACGTTTTGGGACCAATAAGTCCATCATCAGTGTATTTACCATGTGTACACGAATCAAGCCACTAGCCACTAAATATCTAGGAAAAAACCCTTAAAATGATACAAAATTTGTTATTTGTTACATTTTTATTAAAAATATGGTGTGATATTGAAGTTTTTAACAGATACTCTGCATGGCAACGTAAGACTCCCAATGGGGGTTGTTGCTGACTCTGAAACAATGTCTCTGTATGGGCTCTAGATAAAACCAAAAAGACATTTTTTGGAGGGATGTATTATCGGATGGATGTATATCGTACTTATTATTCCGAAAACGTTCTGTGATGTAGCTTGATAGGGTCCTTTTAACTATTTGCCTTTTATGAAGCATTTTTAAATAAAACTTTTTTCTATACAAAAACGTTTTAGAGCTTTTTAAAATAATGTTCCCACGTAAAATAAATTAATTACTATTTAACTGGAAATAAGCCACAATTAAAGGTTAAAATACGTTTATTGACGTTTCAATTTCCACTTCGGAAATCGTTCTCAAAATACAAATAGTAAATTAAACAAATTTTGTTTTTTGTTACATAGTGAAAAATTCTTCTAATAATTTAATTTTATCTGACTCATTCATATTGACAATTCAGACATACATTATGCATTTTAAAGTAGACGACTTTAAAATGATATTGCCAATATTGTTGAGTTGCGCTCCTGGGACGACTTTACTTATAAGATAGTTCATTCGATTACATGAAATCAAATTTAACTTGAGAATATCCGTCAGAAAAAAATTTTAGCATGTAATTCGTCTTTAAAAAGACAAACACATGCCATAATGACAGTAAAATTCTCCTGTTAGTGATTCCATAGTAAATTATGAGGGAAAAACCAGGAAAAAAACCTCATAATACTATCCCGACATGGTAAGTATTTGGTCGTGCATTTAGTTTACCCTCAATAAGCACCAAACTCTGATTTTATATGTTTGTTATTTAAAAAACATATATGATGTCCTTTATATGTTACTGACTTACTAATACTGAAGCGGCTCTAATTATGCTAAATGAGACCAATTGGGTCCCAAATTCCTCGGCAGAATGTAGTAGGATCTGGTTACCCATATTGAAAGAGGAAGTTATTAATAAAAAATACCAGTATTAGTAAGTCAGTAACATATAGAGGATACAATAGAGGATCATTTATGTTTTTTAATTAACAAACATATAAAATTAGAGTTTGGTGCTTATTGAGGGTAAATGCACTAAATGCACGACCAAATACTTACCAATGGGATATTATTATGAAGTTTTTTTCGTGGTTTTTCCCTCATAATTTACTATGGAATCACTAACAGGAGAATTTTACTGTCATCATGTTATGTGTTTGTCTTTTTAAAGACGAATTACATGCTATGATTTTTTTCTGACGAATATTCTCAAGTTAAAATTGATTTCATGTAATCGAATGAACTATCTTATAAGTAAAGTCGTCCCAAGAGCGCAACTCAACTATATTGACAATATCATTTGAAAGTCGTCTACTTTAAAATGCATAATGTATATCTGAATTGTCAATATAAATGAGTCAGATAAAATTAAATTATTAGAAGAATTTTTCACTAAGTAACAAAAATTTGTTTAATTTACTATTTGTATTTTGAGAACGATTTCCGAAATGGAAATTGAAACGTCAATAAACGTATTTTAACCTTTAATTGTGGCTTATTCCCAGTTAAATAGTAATTAATTTACAATGCCACAAGAAAATAGCTTCAGAACAATAGTAAAATGAATGCAATATTATTAGTTTTTGCTAAACTTATTACTTACTCCAAGTAGTTTTGTTGACAGGTTCATTTATTTTTTCTAAATTTTTCTTTAAATTGAAATAACTTATCTGGATATTATTTTCGAAATAAGTGTTGTTCCTTATTGTTAGTTTTTCAAATCTTTCGTCCAGCAAGTTGATATCTTTGACAAATTCCGGATAACCTAAAAAATTAACGAATAAAGCATTTGTAACATTTTAAAGTAAAAGCTATAGAGGAGAACGGGGAATGACGGTCACTTAAGGGAAAAATACTGTGAGTAATGTGTTAAATCATCTTTTATTCAGGTTTCCAGTGAAATGTGTTCGTTTATTATTTGGCTATTTTATATTATAATTGGGTTCGTAAAGCGCCAATGATTTCTTTTTTTTTTCATGATTAAAATAAAAACAGCTGATTGACCGGTATTAGCCTACGTACGTCCATGGCCTACGACGTCGAATAATGGCGGTCAGGGTATCGGGAAATGGAGGTCTTATATTAGAATAGCTCAATAAGAACAAAGATACATTAAATTTCATTTATGATTACATATTAACACCTAACAAAAACAAATTAACAGAGCAAATCATTCGAACAATATTTTACCATGGCTCAGCTTTTTAAATTTAATAAGTTTTCCCAAAATGTCATGTTTACTGATCAAACTTATATCATCTAGTTTTGAGAAAACAAATATGTGCCCTTGACCTGTATAGGTACGCACGCATAAATTTTACAGAAATAGAGTTCTTTCTTAGTTTAACCACGTCAGCCGGAAAATTCTTCGTTGCTTTTTCATTTGAAACTGTCACAAGAAGAAAATAACCCATGTTAATTCGTTGCCTTAGTTCTTCCAGACCAAACCTTTTGGGTAGATTATCTTCAAGCTCCCAGTCATCGACGTGCACTGAGTCTACCTCAGAATCAGATGAATCAAAAACTTTTCTTAACCTAATTCCCAACTTGAAAAGCAAGTTTTTTCAAATTTTGTTTTCGCTCTTTTAGTTTAAAACGCTGTTTACGTTATTATTTCTTTTTTCTAGCTCATTTTTGAATACTTTTGACGACAAAATTTGCAAGTGCATCTTTCTGGTGTTATTTGGTTCTACTTTAGAAAAATCAGACACTGGGGTAACATCTTGAAACGTCACCGCTCTGTAAACCGTGAGATGGTAATATTGCAGCCAACTTCTCAAATCCAGAGAATGGTTTAACAACCGTGGCAACATTTGTGTATGCTTTATTAAAGAGTTTCGCAATCTTATAAACTGTTTTCCTTTCGGCTTTTTGTTGGATGGCTTTTTATAAAAAAAAATCACATTCCCTGTTATAGGCCTTCTTGAGAGGTCAAAGAAAAGCTTTTAAATGCCTCTTGAAGCCGTTTATTCGGTTCTGGTTAGGTCTTGCTTTAGATTTCCGCACTAGAGTGGCTGGATTTCTTTTTAAAAACCCTTCTAGCCAATCTTTACCAGCTACCCTGCTTGTTATGTTAAATCTGTGGCAAATATTCAGTCTTTCTGAAAATTCAAACGCAACTTTTCTTAACTGTAGAGGTATCAACCCGTAGTACATCTTCGCCGAAGTCTTCAAGTGTTTCACTATGCTGGCTTCTTAGTCAGAAGAAGACCGCTTTTCTTCCTAGGTATGGACCACTTGTTATAGACTTTTTAAGTATCTCTGAAGGGTACTGAAAGGAATAGCATAATCCCTAGAAGCTGTTCTTAATAGACACCCCATTTTTAACCGCGTTGGTAGCTATTAGTAGCAGCTCTGGCTTTAATAGTTAAACTAAGTGATTTTTTTGTCTTGTAAGACGGGTCTATGACGTGGATGCCTTGAACTTAAAGCAGTGATTAAATATTTTTTATTCTACAAAAAACTGATAGAATATACGGGAAATATTTTGTCCATACTTCAAAATAAAAATAAGTACGAAAATTATTAAGACGACGCAATCGAACACAAATTTAACAGCCAATGCTATACCAACAACGATAAACACTGATTGCAAAAACTGTTTGCATGTTTTAAACAACATTTTTGTCGATTGATTGATTATTTACCTGTTATGCAATTCTCACTTTGATATTATTCAGATCATAATTTTCAATAATCAACAAAAATCTAATACAAGGACAAATATTGAACTTCACGGTAGTACTATCTTCGCCGTCGCAGCACATATTTACTTCTCGATAACAGTTTTTAGATAACACGAATCATTATTTAATGAATCAATATAAGGTTGAATGTTCGAATAATTAAACTTTGAGGGTATACAAGGCAACTATCGAACACGGTGATTAATTTAATCTTGCCCAAGTACTTTCGATCAATAGATCATCTTCAGGGGCATTTCGTCAATTGTGGCCTATCCGACACAGTAGAATGTCATAAATGTAAAATTTGGACATAACAATACAAAATACAATACACTAAGACAAACAAACACTTTAAAATTTATATGGAGAAGCTACATATTGTATAGAAGCCGGAGACAGAATGATATTATTTAATGATTTGTATAGATTTAAGAATTTACCCTGCTGGAATTGTATGATTTTCCAACAGATGGCCTTGACGTCAGCAGCGGGCTTAAGAAAGCACAGTTGCCATAATTACCTCAATGTATATTACCTATGTCCAGCTGAAAGATTTATGGGATAAAGCCCATACTCATTATAATCTTTTCATTGTTTGTATATGACCTAGGATTAAGATATTGTAATTAACCTTTTGTTATAGGAATGAATTATGTATTTGTAACCAAAGGGAAAGCTAGTTTTAAAGCAAAAATTTTAGTTTCTTTGGAAACAGTAATGGGATTTTTTCTTAATGATTGTAAACAAAATAAAGCTTTTTCATCGGACAGTTTTTTTTTGAATGGGAGAATTGATAGTCGATGTATGAGAGAAAGGGGCAGTTGTCATTTGATCATCGAAAGGAAAGGTCGGGTCTCGATAGAGGGTGTATTCGTGAGTTTGGATACCGGCATTGTGAAAGGAATTTATCAAAATTGTGGAAGGAGATTACAAGTCGATGAAAAGATATCCTTGGTTCTAAAGTGGGCAGTTTCTGGAATACGTAGGAAATAGTTTGGCAGCACCAAGTTGACAGAAAGAGTTCCTTGTGCTATTGAGAAGTAGCTGAGTGTTTGGAGAATTAAATTTCAAGTGTTAATTGTTGGTGAATTGAGTCAGGTATTTCGTACAGGTTCTGCAGGAGGATTGTAGATACAAAAAGAAGAAAGCCGAGGCGAATAGTGGCGAATCACATTGCTGTTGAGCGTGGACGATTTTGGGTATGGTCCCAATACAATCTAGGAAGGAAAGGTCGGTGATTTTCTGTTCAGAATTGAAAATTTTGTAACTGTGAATGAATTTTGTTGACATCATTGTCGTTACCATTTTAACTCAAGAGTAGACTTCATTTGTAAAATGTTTTAAAGTTTTGTTTTTGCAAAATATTGAAAAATCAGAAAGATAAAAAGTTTTAAAGATATTCATTGAAATTGGCTTTAAATTTATTTTGTCTTCAAGAAAACTTAAAATATTCTTTTTGTGTAAATTTTATTATATTCATTTACGCTGATTGACAAGATAACGGCAAAATTTGATAATTGTTTTATTCTTCTTTAAATAAAACAAAGAATACCAAATGTTTGTAACAACACTATTTTTATTATTATCCTTTTTCTCTATCCCGATAAAGGACAACTAGGAAATCTTTGGACCCACACAACATAATAGGTTAATAACATAATTATGGTTTTGATTTGCTCAATTAATCAAGTAAAAAAAAGTAATAAATAAACTAAATTACCAACCTATCATATCAGAAATGGCATCTGCTTTATCAATAGCAACTTGTCTGGTGTCATTATCCATCCACTTCAAATTTTTGAAATTCGTCTTAAAGGCATTCCTCACATTATTGATCATATCTTCAGCTTGAGTTTTTGAGTTCTGGTCGAATACCTCCCTTACAAATATGGCTCCAATAGCAAAACCTAAAATACGTACCCAAAAGACGTATAAGATATACACATTTAATCATTCACTTTGATTACTGTTTAGGTTTGTTGCTGCTTACCTAATACAGAATTGGTATCTTGGATACAATACCTCCACTGTGGCTCCTCACCACCTTCTTGTCCCATTAATGCTGTTCTGAGACCTTTGTATGCATCTCTAAATGCTTTAGAAAGGCATACAGTGAAAACTCGTACAGTTTGCCAGACCATGTAGTTATTAAGAACACTGCAAATCAAAGGAATAATCAGTATTAGTTATTTTATTATTTTATTATATTATTTTATTATATTTTTATTATACCGGGTGGTGAATCGTCAAACGGGCCATAGGAAACTCAATGGGAAATTTTAAATTGTTGAATTGCTGCTTCCCTAATTATTTTAGATCAAAACTCATAAAAAACTATTTGTAGAGGACTAAATTCTAAATTAAAAACAAATGTTAAAACCGTTCTACGAATTAAATGTACTTTAAAATTTTGCAAAAATATAATAGATTTTTCAGACCACCCCTAAAAGTTAGGCCACACGTAATACAAGAATATATTATAACGTGTGTGTTTTATTCTTACTTATCTCTGGTTTTATCATGTCAGATGTTTGACAATTTGAATTGTTAATTTTTTTTATTTTATGATTAAATCATAGATAAATAATATAATAGGATTAAATTATCAACAATGAATTTTACTAAATACTACTACTACTGAACAATATTACTTTGTGAACAATAAATTATATTGTTTACAAATCGATCAATATAATGAAATGTACTCAGTTGACGAAAAATCGCATAATGTTGTATTCAGACAATAGCGCGAACCTTTTCCTGTCACTACCGGATCTTTATTTAACGTAAGATATTCTAATACACTAAAATATAATTCCATGTTAAGTTATACAACAATTCAATGAATTCCAATATACTGTTACTGTGATCTTTATTCCTAATAATAATATACGATAATTTCTAAATATAAAACTATAACAAATGTTATAATAAAACATGAATAAAACATTTTTATTATTGCTCTTTTCTCCTTAACTCAGTACATTTTTTAATCAACTTAATTTTTCTTTTAAATAATAAATCACAAAATTTGGCCATTTAAATCATAGATAAATATAATATAGTTGATTTAAATATTGTCAAATATTAGAAACGTCAATAAGATAAAACGAAACACGTAATACACATTTTTTCACGGCGTCTGGCCTGACTTTTAGGGATGGCCTGAAAAATATATTATATTTTAGCAAAATTTTGGAATACGTTTAAGTCGTAGAACAATTTTAACAATTGTTTTCGATACATATTTGAGCCCTCTACAAATAGTTTCCCATGACTTTTGGTGTAAAATAATTAGGAAGGCAGGAATTCAACAATTTAGAATTTCTCATTGAGTTTCTTATGGCCCGTTTGACGATTCACCACCCTGTATAACCCAATCTAACCTACTCTCTTCTAAATACTATACGAAATATTGTACGAAACATTTTTACTTACATCTTTCCTTCTACGGTTTTATTATACTCTTTAATTAATTTTGTTAAATTTCCTAAATATTCTGGAGCGTAAACTACTACTTCTTCCTTATTAGTCACTTTTTTGTTAACTATCCTCATCGCATCTTCGAAAAATTTCCTCCAGTCTATCTGTAAATAATGCAAGGAGTTTGTTATAGAAAGCAAAAAAAGTATACACTTTCCCTATCAAATTTCTTACTACCTTAACTTTAACTTCATTTCGAGTTGTTTAAAGTTTTTAAAAATTGTACCTAGGTAATACTTTTATAATACCGTTCAGTACGAGACTAGGAGTCAATTTACAAGCTCCAACAATGGATAATACAAAAGTAAGCTTCTATCAGAAAGAAACAAAATATCTAAAAATGAATCAAAAATTAACTCGAAAAAATCAGTCTCATTAAAAAAAATTCTTCTCAGCATTCCCACTCGCCTTTCGCTTTATAACGAAGAAGGAAAGTTTAGAAGGCAGGCCCTTGTGTAAAGAAGGGAAGTTTTGTAGGGCCTCCATAGCCTCCGATGTCCCTCAGAGCCCCTATGATTACAAGGCAATTCGAAGTCTTAATGACCAACTCAACTGCTGCAGCATTTTTGAGACGAGATGAGGCTAAAAACCGATATATATCGTACACAAAGATTATCGAGGTACATTTGGACGGTACCTTACGAATGTAGTAGACAACACTTCAATATTCTACAAATGCTACACAATCTTCAGCGTATGAATAAAGTTCAAATGCTGAGTTACCTTTTCCAATATTGGGTGATAAGAGAGATAATGCATTAACTTAACTCCAATACAAAAAAAGAATCCGGATTATTCACTCACGCGTCTTGGAAAGAATTTCACTAGAAAGCGCAAATCAGTCAACAGATACCTTAGCATGGACGGGTTCAAGATAGATGAAAGGGTTGAAGTAGGATTAAGTAAGAAAATTGCTTAAAATCTGTCATTGAGGTAAAAATGCAAGTTAGAGACATTATTTAATATATATAATTTATATAGGAGAAGTTACTCTTAGTGCAAAGTCTAAAATATTTCAAACTCTAGGCTACTATAAAGGCTTTCAAATACTCTACTTATAAGTCAAAGCTGATTTGGGACTACACAAAATCTTTTACGAAACTGGCAAAAAACATCAAAATATCTTTGATGGCTGTGGATCCTAGGTTATAAAGAGATCAGGGAGAATGAGGACATGCTCCAAAAAACTAGAAAAAGAAGAATGAATGGATGAAAAGGAAATAGACAATGCAAAAGAAGAGGAAAATGAGTCAAGGTATATTCAGAATAATAAGAAAAATACCAAAAAGAGAAACAGAATTAAGAAAATGACAAAAAACATTGGAACATGGAACGGGAGAACGCTGTAGGAAACAGGAAAAATGGAAGAACGAGCGACACAGTTAAAACAACACAAGATAGATATTGCAAGAATTCAGGAAACCAGATGGGGGGGACATGGAAAAATTGAAAAGAAAAATTATATAGTATGGTATGCCGGCGAAGAAAAGAGGGATATGGAGGAATGGCTTTTATGGCGATAGGAGAAATGAGACATAAAGTTATGGAATTTAAACCCATAAGTTAAAGAATATCTTACATAAGAATAAACAGCAAACCGAACAAGTTGTCCATAATAAATGTCTATGCATCCACAGAAAACAGTGATGACTTAACAAAACAGCAGTTCTATGAAAAACTAGAAGAAAACGCCAAGAAAATCCCGGGAGAAGATATATGAATCCTTATAGGATATTTTAACAGATCAAATAAAGAGAGGTTGCAAACGCAAGTGCAAATGTAATTTAGCAGCGACAATAAACATGAACATAAGTAGCAAGAGATATAAACACAAAGACATACTCGAAATAACATGGATAAAACGAGGAAGTCTGGAGGGAAACCAAATAGACCATTTACTGATTAAAAAGATACACAAACAATCAATAAATTACGTTGGAATCCCCTCACAGAGGAGCCAACATCGATTCGGACCATACGCTAGTAATTACAAAATATAAAATAAAAACAGAATATAAGGCGAAAAGCACAGAGAAAATGGGATGTAGATAAATTGAAAGAGAAACAAGTAAAAAGAAGCATTATTATATAAGAGAAGAAGTAAATACAGAGATGCATTTCAAAGAACAACAAATGGAGGAACAGTGGAAAAAATTAAACTAGGAAAAAACAATGCAACAGAGAAAATGATTGACAAAATGTAAAATAAAAGAAGAAATAATTGGTTTGAAGATGAATGCAAATTAGCAGTAGAAGAAAAGAATAAAACAAGATGAAATGGTTAAGCACAAGCAAAGAAGAGAAACGAGCAAAATACAAAGATCAAAGGCAAAAGACAAAGAAATTATTTAAATCGAAAAAAAAAATGAAATAGTAGAAAAAGTCTAGAATATTTCAAACAGCTAGGCTACTATTTTATAAAGGCTTTGAAATACCCTACTTATACGTCAAAGCTGATTTGGAACTGCTCAAAATCTTTTACGAAACCTGGCAACAAACATCAAAATATCTTTGATGTGGATGTCAAATTATAAAGAGATCAGGAATAATGGGAAAGCTGATAAGTTGATCTATGCTCTGTTTAAGATTATGTTATATTTAGCGAATAACTACTTCAAACCTAAACACGAGTTCGTTGAATATTTGGAAACTTTAGTGAGTGAAGACAATATTGATGTTAGAAGTTAAAAAAATTGAAGTATTGTTTCTTAAATTAGACATGCTGGTTTCAAAACCGCAGTTAGTTTTCTTCTATCACGTGAAGCTTTTTCGTTACGCTTTATGAGCATGTGTCGACTCTACGCGAAATATAGCATGGATTAAAGGATAGAGTATTTAGTCCATTCTTCGTTGTTATTATTTAATACGAGCATTTGAGTTCCATTTTAAGTTCTCCATGAAACTCTTCCACTTTTATCTTGAGTGCATACTATTTCTTTCCTGTATATAAGTTTTCTGAGTAAAACTTTCGCAATACAGTTACCCAAAACTCTTAAAATACTCTCAGATTTTAATAATTTAAAATGTACTTACAAATGGAGCTTTAATTTGCAAATCTCCGATTTTCATTAGATTGTAGAGTTTTTCTTCATCTCTTCGCAATTCTCCGGGTATCGTTATATTGGCAAGTTTGGTTTCGAACTTTATAATGGCATCCATTTGTTTTCTGGTCGAATTCGGCTCACCTCCCAATAAAACTCCAACCTGAAAAAATGACGCCCAATTTTCTACTAATAAACCTTGAGAAAAAAATTTATATAAAAATAATAATGCCACTAAAAATTACAGTTTTTTAATTCCATTATATACTACTCATCAAATATAGTTTGAGGTGGTTTGAGTGTCATTACAATCTGCGTAGAATGCGCTATCTCTCCTTGCCTGATTGGTACGCCGTATGCAACAAGTTTATAGAATTTTAGCTTAATTAATAAAAAAAACTTTTTAAATGGAAACAATTTTTCAAATTACATATTTGTTGTAGGAAAAGATAAGTATGTATCTGTAAAATGTGTTGTGACGAAGACATTTTGGTAATTATTCTATTGGGATCGTGCAAGTTTGGAACAGCGACACCTGGTGTCGTAAATCAGCAAAATTTACTGCGCTTTCATGTTAGATCGAGGTTACCGGATAACTGTCAAGGACGTAGTCCCAAAAAAGAATAAGAAGAAAAACTAGGATTGAGGTTATGTCGGTTTGTTATTAAAAGGTAAACGTTGTATGTAGTGTAAATACAAATAAATATATTATTAAATTACAGCATTACTGTTAATATGGATGCAATAATAAAAACTGGATTTGAGAAAGTAAATCACCAAATAACTTTTCAACCAAGCACTGAGTCAAAGGGAAAAGCTTTAGTAGTGGCAAATGTCAAAAAAGAATGGAAGAATTATGTGGAAGAATTAAGAAAAATAAATTACCATAAATAATGCTAATGCATAAATAAGCAGGTTAAGCCCATGATATCATCATATTGGTTTAAACAATTAATTCTTTCTCTGTAAACTTTTGGACAGCGAATATAATATATCTTAATGCATCTTCAGAAAAACTTGAACTTGATGCATTTTTGTAAACTTCAAAAAAATAAAATTTAAACATTAAACCTAAATGAACTTTAAGTGAGTGTTATGAAACTAAAATTTACACTTAAAAGTGAACTTTTATTTATTATTTATTTCAAACTGACTTTAAAATCCGGCGCAAGAATAATGCATAATTTAGGTTATGTTACTTATGCTTTTTTATGATATAAATCTACTTTTCTCTTTGTAGTAATTTGTGCTTCGAAGTTGGAAACGAATAAACCTTAAATTGACAATTTTTTGTTGTATTTTTACAATTTATAACACGGCATTTCCTAAATCCTATTTTCTTCAGTGACAGAAGGTGTAAATAAACAAACGAGTATGAAATATGACAATTGACAATATGAATTTATGAAATCTATAAGATGTGCAGTAAAAAATGCAAGATTTCTCCGCTACTCGCGCACGATCGTTTCTCGTATCACATCCAAGTACTTGCACGTCGCCAATAACAATAAAGTTATCGTTTAAATATGAGGTAATATACATTTTTCTAAATGTAATTATTTCTCTTAAATCTAATTATTTCTTTAAATAAATATTACTTTAGAAGTATAACAAAAGGTTTGCTGATATCGCAACAACTGCAGTATATTAATAACAACCTTTTTGTTCTAATTTACAGAAACAGTAGTTTTTAGATTCTTTTTTGAAACAAAACCAACCTTTGTCATGTACTCTAGGTAGGCATCAAGAACTTTAATATGATCCTTGGTCTTATTCAAATAGTTATCTCTCGTTGGAAGTGTCAGACCACTTTGATCGATTTGTAAAACGTGTCTAGTTGAGTTTTTATCATCTTCTCCCACAGCATATGAAAAAAGGCCGCCTAAAAACCACAGATATATTAGCCAATACATTAAACGGTAAAAACAGAGAAATGGCGATTACGGGTGGTTGCAGTTAATTAAAAATCCAATAAAGCAAAAAAGATTATCTTTACTGGATCAGGACTTACAGTATTGTGCGAACTAATGGAATCATTCATGAAATTTTTAAATATTCACAGTTGGAAACATTGTCCACACATTTACAACTGACCAAGCATTGAAAACATAACCTTACTTTTCTCTGCCTTCTATTTGAGGGTGTTTTAATACATTTAACACTAAGTTTATGTTGTTTTGTACTATTTTATGTTGTTTTCGGTAATAAGTAAGCTTGTTTCGTTGAATTCTATCATGGATATTACGCCTAGGAAGCGTGAACGGATTATCACGTTAAGTGAACAACCTTTTATTCACAAAGAGAAATCGCAGAATGTGTGGAGTGCGCCAGAGGATAGTAAGCAAGATTTTGAAGCGTAAACGAGAAACGGGATCAATGGAGGTGAAAAAGTTAGGATAATGAAAGATTTTTACTTCGACAGAGCAAATTATACCCAAGAAAAACAAGCCAAGAGCTCCAACAAGATCTAGCAGCAACTCTTTAACTCAAGTGTTCAAAAAGACTTTTGGATAATAGTAGAAGAGCAATGAATTATACACCGATATCAGAATAAATTATTAAGGAACATCGTTAATGCTCTATGGTACTTCAGAAACTGTGATCTTCATCGAGACCTCCAGATGGATACGGTTATCCAGACAATAAGTAAGTTTGCCGAGAGTCATGAGCAAAGGCTCTCCAACCACGTGAATGTCGAGGCCATCAAACTCCTAGAGAACGCCAACCGGATAAGAAGACTTAAGAGAACGAAGCCGTTTGAGTTAGTGCTATAAGTGAGAGGAAGTGAAAAAGCAGAGCAAAGTGCAGCTAAAGTATACACGTTAGCTAGTAGTACTATAATGTATTAGAGCCTAAGGAATATTGTTGAATCTAACCTTAGATAAGTTTTTTGTTATATTTTTTTATACAACTAACTTGCTTATTGATCATAGTAAATAATTAGATAGCAATGATCGTAAGATTCCTGTTGGAGTTTTATTAAATAAAAAAAAATATGGACCTCAGTAGCATATCAGAGAACAGTTGCAGAAAAATATTATAGTAGTATTCGTCAAACAAGCACTAACTTTTGAATTTGGATGTGGATACAAAATATGAATATGGAATTTGAGTGTTAAATTCAGATTAGAGTGGCCACTACATTAATTATTATCTCGAGCTATCGAAAAACATCTTAAACATCGCTGTCGTGTGTTCACAGCTGACATCGCACATGTAGAGGAAAGATAAGACCATAAAGCCCTATACATAGATAGATAATCTATATTATTGAAGTAATATAACTTACCTATATTATACTTATTTTGAATTATCTGCGTAATATTCTGTAATGTCCAAGAGTTGACATCAAAACCCGTATTGGTGATGTTCCAACCACCTAGTTTTTCTATTAATGCTATCATAGGTTTTGCTCCTAATGCTTCTACAGTCTCGTTTACGTCCAGGCAAGATTCATAATACATTTTTGCCTTTTGTTCAGCCTTTGACTTCAACGTGTCTATCGGTTGTTCTAAAAATAAAAAATCAATTATAATATAACAATAAAACACTGAAATCTTTGTTTTCAAAACTTTCACAAAATTTAGTATAAAATCTTATCACTACAGCTGTTTCAGCAGAGTGCTTTTCTCAAGTGATCTCTAGACTAAACAAGTTGAGGGGGGCAGAACTGTTGGTCTCAAGTTGGTCATTCAGAATTATGTCCGTGTTTTTATATTTGTTAATTTCCATAGATTCTAATTAAGATAGCTTAAGAACTTTATTTATGACATGAAGAATTTAAAAATTCGTTATTGAAAGAATGATTTAAATCTAGAAGGTGAAGTGCGTATGTAGAATCTGTTTTTCTATTATTGAAATACCTTTTATGTTCTGCTATACGTTTGTAAAATGTTGTACCTGTTTGACCGATGTAAGCTTTTGGAGAGTAACCACAGTTTGTTAACACCACTGTGTAAGTGCTTTTTATTTTGGCTCTTGCTGTTTTTAATATACCTGCCTAAGTTGTTGTTTGTTCTAAAAGCTGGTGTTATTTCTTTCTTTTTTGTATGTTTAGCTATTTTTATTGATATGTTGAATATATATGTAATAGCGCAGCAGGTACTGGCTTTTTTCTCTGGTGGTGGAAAGACTAACTCTTCTACTTAAAGTTATCAGCCAATTTATGAGTTGAGCCGTGGTCATCCTTCAATATTCCAATTTAAAGTAGCATTCTCTTATTATATTAGTATTATTAATCGAAGTTTTTTTGTCTGTTCGTGTATATTGTTTAATTTATTGTAATTTTGTTGTCAATATGTTTTAAATTACTTTGTGTGTTTGTGATTGACCTTGTAATAGGCCCTTTCCAACTAGTATTGGAAACTTGTGGTTTTCTGCGCAATATGGGTATGTTATTACGACATTAATTTCAAGACAGCACAATATGATTATACACTATAATCAATAAAATCATGTCGTCAAAATGTTTTTATTGAAACTGAATTGAATTGAAAACTAATTAAAGTTTTCAAATACTCATTCACCTACATTTGTTGCAGATTAATTCTTTCTACATACTAATGGATCAATTTATAGTCACTGTTTTAATTATCGAAAGTACCCGCATCGTACTTAAAATCGATCAGCATTACTAAAACACACCATGTAAATATAGAACAGAATTTGTTAACAAATACATACCTAAAACTCTTTTAATAACCAGTTGGTTTTGTTGTTCCAACTTCATGAAGGTCCCCCAAGTGGTTTTGGCGTCGGGGATAGGGTTGGCTTTTACCCAACCATTACAAGCGTATTCATAGAAATCGTCACAAGGATCCAAGGTAGTGTCCATGGCTTCTAATATAGTATTAGCTATTCTAATGCAGGATTTATTCAAGCAGGGTCCTGGGGTCCCCGATGGAATTATAATCATCTAAAATATTAATAAATCGCGATTAAACAGATTTTTCTAGTAAAATAAATACTTTTACTGTATATTGAAAAGATTTTGCTGGTTTTTCGATAAATAAAAATCACATAAATGGTGCTGTCTAGTTAACCTAAAACCTACAATCCATCCTTGGAAAAAGAAATCATGAAATCAATGTATAACATTTTATACCAAAAATATTGAACTATATATTTTTGGAAATTAACTAAATATATACTACTTCTTTTGGTACCACTCACATCGGAAAGTGGATATTGTAATAACCAGTATACCTTTACAAACTACTCTTATGAAGTGTTCACTTGAATTAAAATTATATCATTCCCATAAGTTCCGTAGACTCAATATTTTTCTTCGGTTTATACTGCTTATTCCCTTTATTTTATGTAGCATATTTTAATAAAAAAAATTAATATCAATATTAGAGACAACGAAGTAGAGCTGGTGGAAAAATACATATACCTTGGATAAAGATCACAAGAGACAACCAAACATGCGAACTACGAAGAAGAGTAAACCTAGCATGGGCAGCCTATGGAAAACTCAAAGACATCTTTAAAAGCGATATACCAATTTCTTTCAAACGTAAATCATTTGACCAATGTGTGTTGCCTGTGATGATCTATGGTGCCGAATCTTTGACATTGACAGCTACAAATTCTAAAACGCTGCAAATAGCTCAGATGAAAATGGAAAGGCCAATGCTGAGTACAGTGACGAAGAGATTGCTTGAGCGAAGGCCGAGGTTAGACAAAAGAAGTAGAGGAATACCCGCTACTCGTTGAACTGACGATCTCAAAAAAATGTCAAGAAATTTGATAAAAAGAGTTCAAGATAGAGCACAATGGACAAAAATGATGAGATGGCCTATGTCCAGCAGTGGACGCAAAGGGCTGGGTGATGATAATTACGATTTTTTAATAGTGAATATATTTTTCTCTATGTCCTTTTTTGTATTAGTGATTTTGCCCATCGCATGTATGTCACATCGTTTGATTTAATGTGCCATAGGCTAGCATTCGCCTAGTTGTTTATTTTGTACTGTCAGAGGACTTCTTAAGGTTAATAAAGCAAATTTATATTATAGTGAACCTATAATCATCCCTAGTGACATGTGATATCTCGTATGTTGCTATACGTTTATTAATAATGAAGATGCTGTGTAGTGCCCTTTTAGTAGTCACCTTGTTTGTTTTTTTATATTAATGTATTCGTTATATTCTCCACTATCATTTATTGCACCACATGCTCCAATCGGACCAATAATAGCGGATATATGGGCTATTTCTGATTATTGTTTCCAATATCAAATTAAAAATGGATCTTCTTATCTAAGACTCACTTCAGGCTCATCCGATCAAAATCCTCTCCATATTACATGATTTTGTGTGATATTAAGAGTCATACTCAAAAATGAAGTAAGACAGGCTATCAACAAGCTCAAATATAACAAAGCAGCAGGTCCAGATATGATAACAGCAGAAATGCTTAAAGCCACAGAAGAAACCGGCGTAAAGTTACTTCATCTACTCTGTAACCAAATATGGCATTCCAAACAATGGCCTGAAAACTGGACAAAATCTACAATAACGACCATACATAAAAAAGGTAGCTTCCATAAATGCGACAATTATAGAACTATCTCTCTTATATCCCATGCCAGCAAGATAATGCTACATATAATCAATGAGAGACTGAAAACATTCCTTCAAAGAGAAATTCCACAAATGCAAACTGGATTTACCAAAGGTAGAGACACTCGAGAACACCTGCTGAATATAAGACAGATAATCGAGAAATCTAGGGAATTCAACATCCCACTATACATCTGTTTTATAGATTACCGTAAAGCGTTCGACAGGGTCAAGTGGAGATACTTATGGCGAATACTAAAAGAAGTAGGCGTACCACATCTAATTACCCTGATAACTGAACTATATGAACACACTACTGGATCAGTTAAAGTACTTGACACACTTTCGAACGAGTTTTATCCAGAACGGGGTGTCAGACAAGGATCTATGCTATCTCCACAATTATTCAACATATATGGGGAGTATATTATGCGAAGAGCACTTGAAGGATAGGAAAAGGGCATCTTAATAAATGGTCATAAACTAAACAACCTACGTTTCGCAGATGACACAGCCCTTCTTGCAAATAGTCAAGCAGTGCTGATGGAACTTATACGACTGATCAAAAACGAAAGTCAAATATTTGGTCTGCAATTAAACATATCAAAGACAAAGATCATGATAGTGGATAGACTACATAACAATCATCCACACATAACCACAATTGACCGGTTGGAGGTTGTGAGTTCATACTTATATCTGGGATCTTTAATCACAAACACAGGGTCATTACAAGAAGAGATTAAACGTAGATGTGATCTAGCAAAAGTTGTCACAGCAAAAATGACCAAAATATGGAAGGACTGTCAAATTTCAACAGCGATAAAGATGAGGTTGATCAACTGCTTAATATTCCCAATACTGACCTACGGATGTGAATCTTGGACTGTGAGACAATCGTAGAGAAGAAAGATAGACGCCACTGAAATGTTCTGTTGGAGACGAATGTTACGAATTCCTTGGACCGACCGTAGAACAAATAATTCAATTTTAAGAGAGCTAAAAGTTAGCCAACGACTCTCTAGTAAAGTCCATCTCCAACAATTAAAATATTTTGGGCATGTTATGAGAGCAAACACAGAAAACATGGAAAGACTCATAATACAAGGAAAGGTAGAAGGCCGAAGATCACGAGGAAGATCCCCAACAAGATGGATAGATCAAATGACTGGAATATGCCAAAGACCTATGCATGAATTAAAAGAAATGACCAGAGACAGAGATATCTGAAGACGGACAATACATGACATCACGTCGACCACTACACTCCCCCTGGGGGGTCAGGATTGAAGAGAGAGAAGAGTCATTCTTACTAACCTAACCAGATTTACGGGGATGTCAAAGGAGCTCAGTGCTTCATACATTTTATGCATGCAAGGTTACCTTATATTCATAGCAGGTAGTCACTATTAACTCTATTCTCTCTCTGTTGATTCTCTGTCTTAGCATCCTGGTTAATATCTTGTAACAAGTATCCAACAGAGCAACACCTCTGTTATTTTCACATACCAATCTATCATCCTCTTTATATATGGGGAATAATAAATCTTTGCTCCAATCTTTGGGTATGTTTTCCTCTTCACACATGTTCTTGATATGACTATACATCCTTTTTTAAAGTTTTTCCTCTCTATTCTTTAGCATTTTCGCAGCTATTTCGTTTTCTCCCCGTCATTTGTTAGTTTTGAGCCCATTGAATATATTTTTAATCTCTCCCTCACTAGGCAGTTCTATTTATTATACCGTCCTATAATGATAACGAAATAATTGTAGGTACAGAAGATAAACAGGTACGATGGAAAGAATATATTCAGACAATTGTGCTCCACCATTCATAGCTAATCAAATATATTAAAAAGTTCCAGAAATAACCAAAGAAATCATTCATGCAGTACTTAAATGCTCAGAAAAACATAAAAACTACCGGTTTACATAATATCAAAGTCGAAGTACCTAAATGAATTGAAGACAACAATGGTAAAAACCTAGACTTAATAATAGACCTATTCTTGTTGAAGAATTTTGAAATCTCTTCAAAACGCGGACTCAAATTGTCACCTGGACGATTCTTTCTAAATAATTCAGTCCATGTTTTCAGTTTTTTTAATTCATTTTTATATATTGGAAAGATATGCCACTTCCTATTAAAGCATTAACATTACTGTGATAATATGTTTGTTCTTAACATTGACCCACACACTGTGATGAAAATTCAAAAAATCCAGTCACGTCCATGAACTTACGCCATACCAACCAGTGTTGTGATCATTATTAAAAAACAAAACTACAACTATTTTTGCAAGTAATTAGCAACTAGGTTGTTTCTTAAGGCTCAAAGTATTTTCCTTAGAATCGAGGTAGGTACTAAGTAATTTCGAATTTTTACCAGAGTGTTAATTATTTACACTGATATGGTAAAATGTGCTAATAATCGATACAAAGCCAGTGAAAATGAAAACCACAAAAATTTTAAGTTATGGAATCAGATTACCAAGTTCATTGTTAGTGGATTTTTTTTCTCAATTTATTTTGGTAATTCCTTCCTTGTAATTGAAACAATAAACTGTGACTAAACAACTTATTTCGTCATGGAACAACCTCCAACGAAAGTGTCCTTTATATGATCTTAAATGACTATTTTCTTGTTAAATTTCTGTTCTCTACCATATTTAATATTGAAAATTTGAAAAAATGCAAAATGTATAAAACGTCTTGGACTCAACCAGGTTCTTAGGGAATGAAAGATAAATCGAAGTAAAGGAAAATAAAATAAGGAAAAATGTAAATGGCATAGAACGTTTATCGTCTCGTTCTATATAAAGTTTTATTTTACGTATTTAAAATTACATCCTGTATAAGGTAAAATATTCGAGTAACATCTCAAAAATCTTGGGACAAAAACTCTTTAGTGTCTCTTCGAATATAGTAAATAAAATTTAAATGTTTATTTTACTCAACCAAATTGCCTTTTTATTGGAGTTTTAAAGTATCAAGTGCCAAAGAATCAAAGCCTTTATAATTTGTTAAAAATATGGTAGTAATCCTGCCATTACCTGTTGGAGATCTACAGAAACAGAATTTTTCACGCAGATACAGTCAATGATCAATACGAAAATTTAAAATACATGTAGCCAAACAAAACGTTGTACTAACCTTAGTTTCTTCTAATCTATGCTCAGTAACATGTAAAATTATGGCTAAAATAAATATCGTGAACAAAAGTATGCCCACTAAGAGCAACAGCACTTTTTCCAACGGCGATCTCATCTTCCAGATAGTACTACCGGCGTGATACCGTATGTGAGTGGTGCTACTACTAATGCCTTCATTTAACTGAACACTGTTAACACTATCGTCATCTGCAAAGTCTGCATTTGTGTACCTCGTCATCTGCAATAAAAGAAGAGAAAACGTTTATAACTTTCCACGAATAACTATTGTATGCATATTATATCCGCATATAGGATAATGGATAAAAAGCATAAAAACCTAAGTAGGAGAAGATGGTTAGAGCAAAGATTAATTAAAGCATGATGCATCGGTTTAGCTGTGAATGGTATTTTTTGTGTAGAAACCGTGTTAAGCATTGCTAGAGTGCATCAGTTGATAATAATAATTTTTAACAACAAAAAATAAATAAAATAGAGAATATAAAGAAATTTAATGTTGTCTATTGCAGTGTTTTATAGAGTGATTTTGGGTTTACTAGAATGTAGTACATCCCAAACACAATATTATAACTGGGAATTAAACTTACAGTCCATTTTTTACATTATTTATTTATTTCCACAACTGTTTTGCGTATTTCCGAAATGAAAATCGTTTAGAAAACTAAAAACATGTTCTTTTTATCCGCATACGAAATATAAAAGAATCTTCCAGTAAGACTAGTAATTTAACAGCCATTGATGACTCATCGAACAAAGTTAAGGAATGTATAGATCTAACTCATGGTATACTGCTTGCTTTTTGTTCTGTCAATTAGAAAATTCTAACATTTTTTGTTAGTGGCGAAAGTGTCAGGTGTTTCCAATTCTGCACAAGCTTTGAAGAAATAGGTACTGTCTTTGAAGGGCTTTACTCTTGCAGATTAAAGCAACACACATGCTTTTTAAGATCTTTCAATCCCCTTTTCCCAACCCATGACCTATCTTTGATGAAACTAATTGTCTTATCTTATAGTTGCACACAATTTAGTCTTATGTAATGTATTCATTCTTCTCTGTACCTTCTTCGTTCATAATGATACCTAAATAATGCAGATATTCTACCTTAGTTGGTGATAGATCTGTCGTTTGAATCCCAATAGTTATCATATTTCTAGTTTTATACTTCTGTCTTCCAAGTTTTCTTCTGCTCGAAACCAGATTAATACTATAAAGATGACCAGGACAAGAAATAAACACACGAGAAAAAAATCCAAAACCCAGATGAGAATTACCTGTAACATTAGAACGCTTAACATAAGAAACAAGTAAATAACCCAAGTGCGGCAAGAGTTACAGCAAGTAGAAGACCAAGTCAGAGGCAAGATGATAATACTGGAGGATTTAATTAAGTAATAGCCGGAATTAAGCAAAAACATAACGAGAATGTTAAAAACGAAAATTGTGAACTGATGATAAACTTCTGCACGAATAACGAACTTGGAGTAAACAATACATTTTTTAAATAACAAAAAAACACTGAAAACAAAATTTATTATAATATCTTATCACTACAGCTGTTTCAGGATACATTTTTTGATCACAAATACCAATACAAATATACATTCAATAATACCAGTGGACAAAGGTCTATGATAGATTATGTTATAACCAACAGAGATATACATACATAAAAAATAATACGTTAGATGCCTCAACTTAGCAGATGTAGGTAGCGACCGTAGCCTAGTATTAGATAAAATAATAAAAATCATCATGGAATACATCACATTCAAAAAAGCGACACCAATATAGATAAAAATCAGAGTCGAAGAACTAAATATGGTATCCACAGAATACATATACCGAGGAAGAATATCAGAATATTGAAAAAGAAAACTCCATGGTTTAGAGAGGAAGTGAAGACAAAATGTGAAGAAAAAGAGAGCCTTTTACAATACAGAATGCAACAAACATAACGGCATACAAGCACTATAAACGAACCAGAAATGAAAAGAATACGTTGGTCAGAAAAACAAAAAGGATACACTGGGAAATCCTCTCCAAATAGATGATGCCATTTTAGATGATGACTCCTTGCTTACTAAAAAACAATGGATAACTACACTCAAGTTAAAATATCTCTAAATTGGTTATTGAGAAGAAAAGAAAAACTTAAAAATTATGTCACTAAGTAATCCTTTGGAGGACCTGACGATGAGCTGAAAATTGTAGTGCTACAAAACGGTCATCCAAATTTAATAAAACTGAATGTCATTATTTTCTTTTATTTTTATTAATCAATTTAGAAATGAACTAGAAAGTGCAATAAATTCATAATATAAACTATCAATAGTTTGTTTGAAAATATGTCATATCAACTACAATAGAGATTCGAATTGGTTTCCCATTTTGAATTAAACAACTAACTAATAAAACATGTGCACTTTCTTCGACAATCTACACAAAATGAATTAAATCTGTTAGGAAGTATAGCTCACAAGTAATGCGGCGCAGACTTTCAAACAATAATGACTTTATACAGATTCCTAATTCGCTCAAAACTTGATTATGGGGCAAAACTCGGCAAAAATTTCAATACTAAAAATTCTCGATCCAGTTCATAATTCCGTAATTAGGATAGAATTGGGGGCACATTCCACAAGCCCTATTAGGAGCATGTACTGTGAATCTGGGAAGCCTTCACTTCAGCTTAGAAGGAAATATTTTCTTAAGGAAACGTCGACAGATTCTCGACGTTTCAGTCAAGAAGACGATTAGATCCACCATTCTATCATCATATCAGCACAATTCTAAATAACCTAGACATCACTGTACCTCCTATATACACACCTACAAATTCTGTCATATATCATTTAAAAAATCTTATACTTCATCATACCTCTTTAAAACCAAAATGTTCGAAAAGTTAAATAGTCTTCACAAGTCCATCTACATTTATACTGATGCGTCAAAATCGGAAAAATGGAGTGAGTGCTGTATTTGTAACAACCCGCGAAGAACGGTCATTTCAACTCCTTAAGCAATTCACTATATTTCCTGCTGAACTATTTGCCATTCTTCAGGCAATAAAATTCGTCAATGAACATAGCATTGTTAAGGTTGATCTGCACCCTCGATTAATTTGTTTCTGATCCTAGAGATGGCTCTACTGCGGCATGCTACTGTGGTAAATTTTTTAACTTAATTGTAGATTTCTACATGACGACTCTGTAATATTTTCAAATCCTAACATAAATTGCAGTTTTCTGTCATTATATCAATTGGCTGAGTTGCCAAGTTGTGTAGACAGTAATTTTATCAAATATATGCTATAACTTATATGGTTACTAGTAGACCAACTAAGCAAAGATATCTTATAACAACATCTTTATGTATAATACTTTACTGTTCTGCTATGTCAGTCGGAATATAATACACCAAATTCATTCATTATCTAAACAATTTTACCGATAAAGAAATTATGTATGTTGCGGCTTTCTTTGTCAATATCATATTACCATTAAATTCGTACATCATATTATATTACATTTTTGTTGATAGTTAAAAATTAAATGATCTGGTATTATGATTATGTAATATTTTAGTGGGAAATAACAAAAATGTTATTTAAATCTATTACTATCTCAGTTTTTATGAATTAATAAATTTTACTATGTATTCTTCTTCTGTTATATTGATATTTCTTATTTTCATGCTTCATTGTTCTGGCTTTATTGGTCTGTTTATTCTTATAATTTTTCTTTTAATAATTCTTACTTTTTCATCATCTTTTTTCGTAAGACACATTACTTCCGCCCCTTATGCTATCATCGGTCTAATCGCTGTGTCTATGTATTTTTGTCTTTGTTTTTTTTTTGCTGTTTTTTTTTATTTTTAAGTAGTGGGTGATATTTCCAAAACACCCCGTTCTTCTCCCGCATTGTGTGCGTGTTAGTCATACGTTGGATGTATTATTTGGAGTGGTTGATGCGTATTTAGTTATTACGGTTCTATTTGGTCTATTTAGTTCTTCAGTTTCCGTATTCGACAATTTTATAACGCCAAATGAGGACTATGTGAAAGGTGTCATTGCGTATGTGTTTATTGCTTTTACTAAGTGCTTGGAATTAAGTTTGCTTTTGAGTATTATCCAGATTTAGCCATACGGCTCACACTCCCTCTATGGAAAATATCGAGGAAAATTCACTCATTCCAGATACCTACGGTATCAAAAGGATTGAGCTTTGGTGGGACTCTTTCTGTGTTATTGAGCCCTAGGTGACTTGGTGTACTGGAGTATCTCCCAAAAATGTTCGTACATATCTGGACGTCGCGAGGAGTATAGCTTTATGTATGGCCTTATAAAGATGTTCATTTAGACCCAGCTGTTTTATGTTCGCTAGGTGATTTTTGGGAATAACACGAGTAACATGAGTATTATTATTATCCCAGATTTAGCCATACGGCTCACACTCCCTCTAAGGGGAAAATTCACTCATCCCAGATACCTACGGTATCAAAAGAATTGAGCTCTGGTGGGACTCTTTCCGTGTTATCGAGCCCTAGGTGACTTGGTATGTTGGAGTATCTCCCAAGAATTTTCTTACACATCTGGACGTCGCGAGGAGTACAGCTTTCTGCATGGCCTTATAAAGATGTTCATTTAGACCCAACTGTTTTATGTTCGCTATGAGGTTTTTGGGAATAACACCAGTAATAGATAAAACAATAGGTAGTGTCTGGGTACTTTCCGTTCTCCATTGTCTCCTGATTTGTATTTCTAGATCTCTGTACTTGGCGATCTTTCCGTTGTATTTAACACCTAAATTATTGGTGTTGGGTATCGCCACATCAATAAGTGTTGTTTGTCTAGTAAGTTTATTAACTAGTATGAGATCCGGTCTATTATGGGCCACTGGTTGGTCTGTAAGCACAGTGCGGTCCCAGTATAGCTTGTAGTTGTCATTTTCAAGCATTCTATCAGGGGCGTATTGATAATAAGGAAGATGGTCGGTTTGGAGAAGTCCCAGTTTGTCAGCTAGTTCTTGGTGGATAATCTTTCCTAGTGGTTTCTTGGGCTTGGCATCCATATCGGCATTTGTCATTTTGGACTTGAGGATCTTTAACAATATATTTTAGGTAATTTTTAGTTGGAATAACCTGATCCTGAATGGCAAGTAGGAAACCCTCAGTCTCGGGAAACATCTTTCCTGATGTCAACCAATAGTTCGACGCTGTATT